AATTAGAGCGCAGCTCTTGAGGAGGAGGAGGGAAGGGTACTGGGGGTGAAGTGACCTGGGGGGGGGGTCACGTGACCTTGGGGGGTCACGTGACGATGCCGATGATGTCATCAGTGACGTCACTGATGACGTCATCCGTGATGATGACGATGACGATGCGGATGCCGGTGACGTCATCAGTGACGTCACTGATGACGTCATCAGTGATGATGACGATGACGATGCCGATGCCGGTGAGGTCATCAGTGACGTCACTGATGACGTCATCAGTGACGATGACGATGCGGACTCTGATGACGTCATCAGCGATGATGACGATGACGATGCGGATGTCGGATTACGTCATCAGTGACGTCACTGATGACGTAATCCGTGATGATGACGATGCGGATGCCGGTGACGTCATCAGTGACTTAACTGATCACGTCATCAGTGATGATGACGATGACGATGCGGATGCCGGTGAGGTCATCAGTAACGTCACTGATGACGTCATCACTGATGATGACGATGACAATGTGGATGCCGGTGACGTCATCAGTGACGATGACGTCATCGGGGAGGTCACGTGACCTCGGCGAGGGGGGTCACGTGACCCTGGGGGGTGGTTACGTGACCTCGGGGGGGGGGGGGGGTCACGTGATCTCGGGGGGTCACGTGACTTTGGGTGTCACGTGACCTTGGGGGTCACGTGACCTGTAGGGGTCACGTGACCTTGGGGTGACCTTGGGGGCCACGTGACCTTGGGATAACCTTGGGGGGTCGCGTGACCTTGGGGTGACCTTGGTTACGCCGACGCCGACGGCGACGCCGACGCCGCTCAAGCCGGGAACGGGCCCCTAAGAGCTGCGCTCTAAAATGAGACCCTTACAATCCTCTGTAATGGAAAATTAGAGCGCAGCTCTTGAGATGGAGGAGGGGAGGGCACGAAGGGAAGGGTATGGCGCTCCGATCCGTACCTTCCTCTCCTTCTCTCCTCATCTCCTCCCATTTAGCAAGAAATTTTTGCTAAATTTATAACTAAATTTCTACGTTAAATTTAGCAGGGAAATGTTCCCGGTAAATTTCAAGGGAATAGAGCTGAGATTTTCCCGATAAATTTAGCGTGGAAATTCAGCGCAAGTTTCCCCGCTAAATTTAGCGGGAAACTGTGACGTCCCATAATGCAACGCGCGCGGTTACGCCGACACCGACACCGCTCAAACCCCGGACGGGCGCTTAAGAGCTGCACTTTAAGATGAAAGACGTTTGCATATCTCTGTAATGCGAAGTTAGAGCCCAATTTTTGAGGAAGAGTAGGGGAGGGTACCGGGGGGGGGAGGGTATGTCCCTCCTTCTGCTTCGTACCCTCCCCTCCTTCTTTAAAATGTAATAGCGCCGAAAACACAAAGAAGGACGAAGAAGTGGACGAACACAAGCCGCACCCGCAACTGTTGTTTATTTAGAAAAATACATTCAAAATATGGGCCCACAACAATGTGTCATTCATCATCGTATCGATGCATTGCTCGTCTAACATATTCAAACTCTTTCTTCGCTAGAGCAAGTGACGCTTCACTTATACAATCTGCACCTCTATCCCGGATTTCCAACGCCTCATGCGGTTCTCTGTCAGTTCTATCGTGGTACCGAGTCATCTTGCCATCCATTGCAACAGAGGCCCATGTACGCCTTTTCTACATGACTTTAAGATTTTGGATCAGTACCGTGATAGAACTAAAGTCCCTAAATAAGAGCTTCCTACAAGTAACGACATTCTTTGAAGCGCCGATTGCGTGACGGTTGAGGTTTTAGGAAGCGAATGGCGGTGCACAGCAGAGTTTGGAACTGAATGCCGCCATTTCGTTCCAGCCGATTGTGCTTTGAAATTTGTATTGGTTTTCGTTAGTTGTAAAATACGTATCAAGGGAATTTAGATAGAGCCCGCAGAGAACTGCTTGAGGCGTTTGAAAACTGGGATAAGTGTGCAGATTGCATAACTGAAGCGTCAATAGCCCTATATAGAAGAAAGAGTTGGAATATATTAGACGAGCAATGCATCGACACTCTGATGAATGACACGTTGTTGTAGGCCTATGTTATAAATGTTTTATCCCAATAAACAACAGTTGCGAGTGCGCCTTGAGTTCGTTCACTCCTTCGTCCTTGTCTGCGTTTCGGAGCTATAACTTTTTACAGAGTATGAACCAACTAGACCACCCAACCACTTTGCTCCCCTTCTTTCCTCCTCCTTTCATCCTCCTCTCCCTCAACTGCTACTCCTTCCCTTCTTCTCCTTCCCTCTCCTCCTCCATAACCTGACCTCCCCCTCCTTTGTACCCTCCCTTCCTGCTCCTACGTGCCCTCCCATCCTCCCACAGTTTTCCCGCTACATTTAGCTGGAAAATTTACGCTACGTGACCTCAACATCAATTCAGTTTCCCCTCTAGGTTTAGCGGGGAAAATACGTCACATGGCTTCGTGTCACGTCACCCATGAACAAATTCAGTTTCTCGGCTAGATTTAGCGGAAAAATTGACGAGACGCGACCTCCACACCAATTCGATTTCCCGCTAAATTTAGCGGGGGGGGGGGGGGGGTTACGCCGACGGCGACGGCGACGCCGCTATACGCGGAAACGGGCGCCTAAGAGCGGCGCTCTAAAATCGAGAATTATGTTTCCAAACTCTGTCGAGCAAAATACTGTTCCTGGTGATTTCAAACCTAAATACTCTCGCGATGTTACCACGTCCTTTGCCCGAATAAACCAGGGGCACGGTTGAACGTAGGAAACGGCCGCGCAATCTCCAAACACGAATTTAGCAGCGGGGTAAACTTAGATCGAGGCTCCGAAGTTTAGAAACGTGTAAAGTATTATCAAATAAAGCAAGGTGTGCAAGGTGCTTGCCTACCTGAACAGAATCAACTTCTACGCGCCGTTCCAGTTCCATTCCGACCGGAGCCAATCGAAAAAGCCAATCAATCGATGGAGACAATGAATCGTCGTGGCACTCATCGCTTTTGTGCGCTTGCTATCGCCGACTAAACCAATTGCTCACAATGAGAAGTCGGGGTGATTGTGCAGAAATGAGGGCGATTACGCAGGCGAGCTGGTGAGCAGACATAACTGAAAGAACACATTGTGAACGCTTTCGCGACCCTGCATTTTCGCTCAGTGCATGAATGGTTTAGCCGCTAATAGCCAACCCACAAAAACGTGAAGCTCCATGACAATGCACAGTTGGCACTGCTTGAGTGCCTCCATTACGGTGTAGCGTCTACTGAGGTTGGACCTAAAATGAAACGAAGTAGAACACAAGGGCGCGTAGAGTGCCTCTACACCTGTCATTGGAAACCGACGAAGATCACCGGCGAGTCCCTAACCCAAGTATCACCCTAACAGCAATAACGTTCTTATTTAATTTCCCTCAAAGTAAGCTCTCGCACTACAGCCATGAGGGCCATAGAAAGGCAGGTAGTGGCGAGACCCGGGCACTTTATCTTCACTCCACGGTCAATGAGATTGCCTCATTAGCTCGTAATTGGCGCGTCAAAGAAACAACCCCAAAGCAAAAAACGGGGACAAACCCAAATTGACCGTAAGTATGGTCTTTCTGTCAAACGCGTTGAAATGCGGTAGCGTTACAGGGCCATCGTGGGAAAAAAGTGTACTGAAACGCATAGACGTTTATTGAAATAAGGGTAATGTACTACAAGCCTTGTAAGCTTAGGATTGCTACCTCGATGGTTACGCAATTTCAACGCACCCAAACACAGTGCGGCGATCACTGATGTCGGTGCAATTTATCTCGTGGTTCTCGCTATTTTTGTTGTCTTCACGGTGTTTCGGCTGTCTTTTCATTTGTACGTTATAGACCTTTGCACGAATCGCCTACTGCGGGCTACCATCTTTGTCTCCTGGGCTATGGAATGTCTTTTGAGCGTGCGCTGTTGCTCTGCTGTGAGGTATATCAGACGCTGCGCATGCGTTTACAGCTTAGTGACTCAGCATTTTTCATCCGAGTGATAAGCAATGGAAAGGACTATACAAAGCGACGGTTTATGAACCGAGAAGTACGATAGAAAGTTCCACGCAACGTAGTCCGCGGAAACACCTTGCGCGACGATTGTGGTCATTTCCGCTCCTAATCGCCATTACCCACATCATGACGCGGGCGCACGCCTTTTGGTGGAATTCCGAAGGCTACAGGCTAAATGGCGTGCGCAGAGAGAGAAGGCGTGTTTTGTGTGCAAAAAGGTTATGTCACGCCATTGTCTCTCTGTGACGCTTCATCAGGCTTCTCATGAGCACCATCCCGATACAAAGCCTTGGCGCTGCATCTTCTGTGTCACCATGAGAGGGGAGCCATTCTTTCCTGCCCTTTCCCCATTTTTCGCTCCTCCTCGTTCTGCGTCTTATTTCTACACCACATGTTTCTGCTCGTCTATTTCTTGTCCTTTCCACCTCACTCTGCACCGCTCGCTTTCTTACACCACCTGCCTCTGCTCCTCCGTTCCTCCGTGCTCGGTCCGTAACTCAGTCAGCGGCGCAATCGGCTTCCACACCGGTGGCCAGGATTTAGCGGTTACGAACTAATCGACCTACACATTTCGTAATTGCGCGACACTGAGGTTGGTTGGCCCTATAAAGCTAACGCTTTAATAAGCCACACTTTTTGTTTCTTATGCTGTCAGTGACCATAGCGGCGATTTCTATATTGCACAACACTGATAATGCACACAAGTAATTTCCGAGACAAAAGCAATAGGATTACCGAGACAAAACCCATTCTCCGTAAACGTGGGTTAAGTAAATACTCAGCCATCGATTCTAGTAAGCAGAAGCTAAGTCTGATCAAAGCTACTGCGCCCACTGACCGACAAGCAGACGTGATATTGACAATTTCTTTGGAAGGCTCCTTTTGCTGATACGCATTATTTTGCAAGGAATGACATGGAGAAATAATTAAGCGATTGAATATTTTTAATAACCAGCAAGATGGGGATCGTGGTGGTTCAGCCTAGTGCTTATTCTTCTGCTTCTTTTTTGGCTTCTTGGTAGGTGGGGCCGGCTCGTCTTCCGACGATGTCTCATCCCTAGTGGGGGGTGGACTAGCTTCGTCGCTTCTCAGGTAGCAGAGTCCATCTTTGCAAACTCCGTCATCGATGCCGTTGTACTGAAAAGTCATTGACACAGCTGTTTCAATTCTGTGAAGCGGATATGTGACTTCTTCTGCATATATTTTATAGAAAAAAAAGTTAAGCAGGAACAAAAGATGCGTTTTGTTCTAGCCCACGCAACCTTGTTGATACGGTGACTGTGCAAGACAGTTATTTCAAACTTGTCAATTAAAATTTTTCAAATGAACTTTTGCACGTTTCTATAGAACGCCTAAATTAGTTAGACAGTTCGGCGTTGTTAATGAGGACCTTTCGCCCGAGGGTTAATTTTTCGTTGTATTTTGTGAAAGTGGTGCTAAAAAGTGTAAACAATCGCATGATCAGCTTAATTCTGTCGCGTTATCAATCTATATGTTTACATATATAAGAAAATATAAGACAATTCTGCAATGGGAATATATTGCTTAAAAAAGAAACTGCCTCAAGGATGGGCACCAAAATTTATTATTGCAAACTACGGGGGTTGTACATGTACGGCTCTGAACTCACAAGGTAGTAGGCAGCCCTAACTGATCAACAAAATTACGACAAAAAAAAACTTGAATTGTAATGATTAATAAAAACATTTTTTTTTGTCTCTGAATTTTAGAAAACGATGGAGAAACTTAGGCAACTAGTAATATTTTATTGTTCTTGTTTACACAAAAGGGGTAAAGAGGAGACTGCTTTTGGGTATTTCTGAGATATACTACTGTGAAATAGAGAGTGTAGTATTTAAGAACGCTTTAGGGAACACCTTATTAAAATTATAACTGTGACGTTGATGATTGCCATCTAATAATTGCCACCCAGATGATTGCCACCCAGAAATATGAACGTTCCTCTCGTTAACGAAGAGTTCTCTTGGTGTTTTTGCCTAGATATTCTCAATCGAAGTTGCTGCCGCAGAAATACCTACAATTTGCTAATTTATTCAAGGCACAGGTTAATTCGATGTACCATTTGTATTCTAAGCAAGCTTCATTTCGAAGTTAAAATTAGTACTCGTCCAATGTTTTCAATAGACTTGCGATTCAATTTCTGTGCGTTAGAGTATATGAATGACCAACGTGCTTCGAATTCTAGAAATGACTGCGCGTCTACTTACCCACAAAACACTCGAACAGCCAATCTCTGCGATCTACGAAATCAGCTCAGTGAATGAGAGGCGGAACACCGACTTAGACCTCAAAATTAAGTCTGCTTTTTGGCATTATGCAATGCAAGCATTACGCTTTGCATTGCGTAATGCCACAGCGCAGACTTAATTTTTGGGTGTTATCGGATGTTCCGCCGCATCATTCGCTCAGCTGCTTTCGTTGATCGCAGATACTGAATCTTTGAGTGTTTTGCAGGTAAGTAGACGAGCACGGATTTCTTAGACTGTGTGGCAGTCAAGAAACTTCCGATAACTAATCTAGAATCGATATTACCTCCACGTTAAAGTACACCCTACCATCACTGGTAGCATAAAAAACGGAGGGCGTGGTTTATCATTTTCACGCTTTTTGCTTTCTTATTCGTGCTTTGGGGCTCTTGCCGAAATCTCACTGACTGTGGAGCGATCATAATATGCACGGGATGATAAGATGCCCACGCCGTGTTTTGTTAAGACGCGAGTGACAATAGCTCGAAGCAACCCCAGCCATCTTATAAGCTTCTATGTTTCATACATTGCATTTTTCTCCATCCTCCAAGTGACCTTCGTCCCACCCATTGTTGGCAGCGTTGCGGCAAAAATAGTTGCAGCTTGTATCCTGAAAATGAAAATATATAGTTTTACTGTAAAGCTGCAGTGGCAAAGTAGCAAATTATATTGTTTTGCTTTCTGGAGTTTATATGCACCTTGATTATACCTGCATCCACACACGGTGCTTTGCTCATTAACCATGTTGAATTAACCTGAGACTGGGTAGAGAAGAAGCATCAAAACGTAGATGGGACAGAAAATAGACAGGAGACGTCGTCCTGTCTATTTTCTGTCCCTTCTACGTTTTGATGCTTCTTCTCTACCCCAGTCTCAGGTTAATTCAACATGGTTAATATTCACCAGCTCGCCTGCACCCTTACAATTTTTTCTTTGCTCATTGTTTTCTGTAGCATTTTGATTGACATAAGTTATTTTGGTCTTTGTAGCTCTTTTGTTTTTGTTCCAGTCAAAATTGCGACGAGCTTTGTTTAAATTTTACAATGAATGATGGAATGGTTAGGGGTTTGTACTTGCAGTAATCGCTAGCCTCCTTTCGAATTTTAGAAGCGTCTCGTTTAAACCTACGATAAAAATGTGCTTCTGCATTCTAATTAGTGTACATAAATAATCATGAACTTCGCTTTCTTTATATAAGGAGCGTTTTTTTCGTGACTGCCATTTGTACGGTAATTTTCACTGGAATAAAATCAAAATTCACTACATCAGTACAGAATAGGATTTATTTCATACATTTTAAAACATCTATATAGGGATTTTTTATAGATTAGCATTTATCTTGTACCTAGTATAAATAAATATATCTTAATATTATGTACTCAGAGCATATAAAATTGTTATTAGACGTGCCCCTTTTACAAAAAAAGGAACTGGTATCAACAATACGGGGAGGGCATAGGCGAGCAAATGTAAGTTTACCATTTTGCTAAAACGGGAACCGGACAAAATGATCTCTCACAAAATGGCTCCAGACAAAATGTCCCCGGACGAAATAGTCCCGGACAAAATGGCCCCGGACAAACCGGCCGCAATCGTAGATCCGGACGAATTGGTACCATCCAAGCATATAAAAAGATAAATATGTGCAAAATACCATTACCAAATTCTATTTATAAAATAACCTCTCCAATTTCAGTAGTTAGCTTTCACTTTGAATTGGCAGTTCATGCTGGTAATTAAAACCGACCAGTGCAATGGTTTCCTTCCCTCGAACTACATAGAAACCCTGGTGCTAAATGTGCGCGATGCTTTGCATCTACTCAGCACGTCTTATAGTTTTTAGGGCGCAGCTCTTAGGCGCCTGTTTCCGGGCTGAGCGGCGTCGCCGTCGCCGTCGGCGTAAGCGCGCATGACGTTGTGGGACGTTTCTCATAATAACGTCACACGTGACGTCACTTGTGACGTCACGAGGGCCACGAGTGACGTCACGAAGGTCACTCGTGACGGTCAAGACCTTCACGAGGCTTTCACTAGAGACGTCGCAAGGAAAGAGGAAGGGGGGTTGGAGGAGAAGAGGAGGAGAATGAGTGGAGGAGGAGGGAGGAGGATGGAGAAGAGAGAGAGGGAGGAGGAGGGGAGGAGAAGGAGAGGGTATGAAGAAGGAGGGGCATACCCTCAACTTTGTCCCTCCCCTCCTCCTCCTCAAGAGCTGCGCTCTAATTCGGCATTACAGGGAATTGTAAACGTTTTTTGTTTTTTTTTTAATAACAGGGAACTTCATTGAATTTTATGTATTAAGTTCACAAAATGTAATTATACCGCATGGAAATCATGCGTACAGCGAGAACTCGTGAAGAGTTGTGTTAAGCCGTGAAATGGTGAACTATGGGCTAGTTGATTGATCGACATAATAGAAAGAAAAGCGCAAAATCGACGGTACAAAGAAAAAAAAAACACACACACACACACACATACATGAGAATGGCATCTGCCCTGTGCTTGAGTTTTTCCGACTTTGTCTCGTCTATTCCGGGATTTTTTTTAGCGTTATGATGGTAAGCGCTCGAGCTCACTGGCATCGCTGCAGACTCGGCATTCACACTGGTGGTGTGAGAGCAGAATCACCAGTGGATACACGTGTTTTCATGCAATGTTAATTATCCAGATGTTACTTGCTGTTATCAAGCGATAATACCCTTTTGCTGTGTTACGCACTGGACACCGACCAGAGTGGTTGTTCCCAGCGCGGAGCGCAGACGACCTACGCGACGGACGAAAACATACAGTGGCGACGAGGTGAACGCAAGCAACGACGGGCACAAGCGGACCACTGCAGCAATATCAACTGCGACGACGACGTCGGCCTTTCAAGTTCTCCACTTAAAAAACAAAAACAAAAAAAAAACGACAGATAATTGGGATATGTATTGGATGCAAGTGGAAGCCTATATTAAGGGCAATGGGACAAGAGCGAGCGAGCGTTGTTGGTGGCTGCGTTGGGCTCCCTGACGATTGATATTTTAAAAGGATTGTGTGCACCGCGTAAGATAAAGGAAGTAGCGTACAAAGAAGTTGTAGACATTCAGTCCGCCGCTCCACGTACAAAGAAGTTGTACGTACACGTACGAAGAAGTTGTACGTCCGCGTACAAAGAAGTTGTACGCCCACGTACAAAGAAGTACTACAAAGAAGAAGCGTACAAAGAATGAAGCAATGGTGAGGGTGCAGGCTAGCTGGTGTAAATTGAGCATAGTTGTAACCCGAGACTGGGTGTCAGGTTCGTCCGGGGTGGTGAGAGGAAGGATCGGGAGACTGAGACAAATGCGTGAGGAAAAACAAATATATATATATTCAAGTCAGGAAGTAAAATTAAAAATGAAAAAGGCAACGTTAGAAAGGCAAAAGAAAAGAAACCATTCGACCGTCCAAGCACGTTCGGTAGGCAGTATAGTCACCCCTGGGGTCGTAGCCCGGGCCGCTGGTGCCTTGATGGTTCGCCCCCTTGATCGTTGGTGAAGTAGAGCGGGCGGCGATGTCGGGAGGGGGCTGGTTATCTCGGGTACGGGTGCCTTGATCCCGGGACGGAGCCGGTTGCGCTGCTGGTCACCGTGCTGAAGCCGGTTACGTTGAAATTGAGCTTCCCTGCAGCCTGGACAGAGCCAGGCTCGTTGATTCTCAGCGCGTTGGGGCCGGGACGGAGCCGGGTAGCGTAGCACACTGACGCCGGGACAAAGCCGGGCAGCGCACCGTTCGAGCAGCCAACCGTCGCGGCTCTTGGTCCAGTTTCGAATCCCTTCGCACCCGCGATACCACTCTTCTTTTTCTTCCCTTCTCTTTCTTCCTTTTTTTTTTCCAAATCATGACATTACCCCACAAACACGAGAAGTTTGTAAGAAACTTCTATCTTGTCCGTTTCTTCTCTTCCAGGTGCCGTCACAACATCGCTGATCGCAACCGAGAGATACGAGCTTTTGTCACGGCACTTTCACAACACCCGCCACGAACGATAACGCCATCACTCCACCGTTGCCGAAATGTCACACCATTTCACACTTTTACCAAACAAAAAAAAAGGTTTACAAACGAAGAATCTCTGATTCGTTCTTCAATCATACACTAAAGCACCTCGTCGTAGGTCGAACTTATTCTTATTCAGGAGAAATTTATCCGATAAGCGTACAACCATAAAACACACACACAAAAAAAAAAACAACCAAAGACCTTATAAGAGCCTACGACACCGACCAGCTGCCAAGGTTGGTACCTGTTAGAACCTAAGTCGATACTGACTCTGGTTCCTCGATACCGCTGACGTATATACGGATTTGTGGCACGCACCTCTCAATCAGCTCCGGTCAGTGAACCATCTCCCTCTTGAAAGGCACCCTAGAGCCGGCTTAAAAAGTCTGCGCCCACGTTATCCCTACCTTTAATATACTCTACGTTGAAACTGTGATCTTGCAGCGCCATGCTCCATCTCATTACCCGACTATTCGTGAGTCTTGCCTTGTTGAGAAATTCCAGCGGCTGATGGTCAGTCTGGACGCGAAATGTCCTCCCATACAAAAAGAGCTTAAACCGGCCAACTGCCCAAACCAGCGCTAGACATTCCTTTTCCACGGTGGCGAAGTTCTTTTCAGAGTTAGTCAGTTTCCGACTGGCATATGCTACTGGGTGCAGCATCCCTTCCTTCTCCTGCAGTAACACTGCCCCCAAACTCGCTTCTGACGCATCAGTGCGTAACACAAATTCCTTCTCAGGATTTGGTGACAGCAAAATCGGTGGCTCGTCCAAACGTCTTTTTAACTTTGTGAAAGCCTCCTCTTGCCTCGGGCCCCACTCGACACCATTAGGTGCTCCCTTTCTAGTCAGGTCTACCAACGGCGCTGCAACTTCTGCGTAGTTTGGAACAAACTGCCTGTAGAATCCTGTTAGTCCGAGAAACGAACGAACTTGGCGTTTCGTTTGCGGTCGTGGTGCATCTCGGACCCTTTCGATGATTTGTGCATCCGGAGCTATATTACCCATTCCAATTTCATGTCCAAGGAAACTAATTTCTTCGAACCCTATCTGACATTTCTTGGGTTTTACTGTGATGTTCGCTGCTCGTAGACGTTCAAAAATCGTCCTGAGCGTCTCTATATGGTCCTCCCATGAACTTGTTGCCACTAGGATATCATCAATGTAGTGATGCGCGTCTCGCACCCCATCTAGGAGCTTACGCATCAGCTTTGTAAACGTAGCGGAGGCGGTCTTCAGACCGAACGGCATAAACTTGAACTGATAATGCCCGCTCGTCGACGAAAAAGCCGTCTTTTCCTTGGCGTGGTCATCCATCGGAATCTGCCAGTAGCCTTTGGCTACGTCAAGTTTTGAGAAGAAACGCTTTTGTCCCGCCTTGACCAACGTCATGTCGATTCTTGGTATTGGCTCTGCGTCAGGATGTATGACGTCATTCAGCCGTCTGTAATCGATACAAAATCTGTTCGACCCGTCTTTCTTCTTCACAATGACCACTGGGGCATTGTACGATGACGTACACCTCTCTATTACGTCCAACTTGAGCATCTCTGTGATTTCGTTCTCGACTACATCTTGAACAGCCAAAGG